TTCTCAAGTAAGTATGTTACAATTGAATTTCTTGGATGTGTAATTTCTTTTATTCAGAGGGGTTGGATGTGAAATTTTAGTTATACCTACATATGAAATGGTTGGCAAATTAAAATATCTTCTTCTATAATATGAAAAGTTGATATACTTTTTCATAATTCATAATATATATAATATGTAGTATTCTGGTGGTTAAAATCTAGGCGGAAAAGAGAAATTGTTAAACTCATGGTATACTACCGTAGATCAGAACTGTTGCAGAAATCTCTACTCACTCTTAATATCACCATTGTCACAATAAGTTTTAGTAGGTATTATCTTTAGTAGTTTTCAATACACTATCTTTCACTCCTTGCTTAAAATGATTTGCATTGTGACAAGAAGTTTTAGTAGGTATTATCTTTTGATGTCAATACATTAGTACTAGCCAAGAGTTTCTACAACACAAGGCTGACCAGCAACGTGGTTATGATTATAAGTAGTCGTAGCTACTCGTTGGATGACTTAACGAGGGTTCAGTGGCAAGCACGGTTTCCTGAATTGCGACTACCTAGTTATCTGGAGGATCCGAGTTTTACTCTGACAATCCCCGAAGATGAAGACGAGACCCAACAGTAATGCATTTCAGTTTCTTTTCAAACTTAAATATTTTTATAATTTTTAGGTTGTTTGTTTGTATCAACACTTTGTTTGTATTACATTGATGTTTCTATTTATAATTATCAGTTTTTTTCATAGTTTCAAATTTTTTTTTAAAAAAATTAATAATAGATGAAAAAAAAATAATTAATAATAATTTATAATCGATTTATAAATGAGTTATTTAATTTAATATTTGAAGGAATCTGGAGTTAAAAAATTCGTAGGAAATTGGAATGAATAGATTTTTCGTAGGAAAATAGAAGAAAAATATTTGTTAGGAAATTAGAAGCAAAACGTTTCCTACGCCTTATTTGAAGGAAAACGGTCAGAAATACCTTTTGCCTTTCCTACGAAAATACCTACAAAAATTCATTCGGCGCTTTTTTGGTAGGAAATTTCCTACCAATATTTTACCATCTATGATTTCCTACGAGTGATTTCCTACCATTTTAGTTGTAGGGATTTTGTAAGAAACATATGTTTCCTACCATTTTTTCACGCAACTGCTTTAGGAAATTGAATTTTTTCTTGTAGTGTTTGGTTTAGATTACATTTTTCAACAATTTTGAATTTTATCAGAGAGTATGATTTTTTCTTTAACCCACTCTATTATATGATCCAAAAGTTTGTTACGATTTTTTTTAGTTTATTTGATGTATTATAGTTAAAAAAAATATATATATATATATTGTATATATACAATTTTTTTTATTATGCAACTGCATGAACATAAAATTTAGAGCATTTTTTAATATTTTTTCTTTTGTCAACCACATATTAATTAAACAAGTATTCCATGATTGTTCAGATTTGTTTTGTTTATAATTAATTGCAGTTTTTGTTAAAATATTATTTCTATCTTAATTTTCTAATTGTGGTGAATATTTCATCATATGTATATTAAAACTTGTGGGTAAAGATAGTACTAAGCCACTATTCAGTATGTAAATAGGATTTATAAGCATTTCTAAATAGAGAAATCTGTTTATTATTAATAAGTCTGTATTTCATCACTTTTTGAGCATGCATTCATCATCTTTTCAGCATTATTCACTTGTTGATTTGCAACATATTGATCCCTTTCTGCATGTTTTACATACTTAGGTAGGTTTTATGCATATCATGCATGTTTTGCATACATTCTGCATATTTGGAGTGTTTCAGGTACATAGGAGACATGCAGAGCGAAGCAGAGGAACAAGCATTACTCGACATGCATATGATCGAGTGGGACGATCGAGTGAGAAGCAGAGATGCGTTGTAGAAACATACTTCACTCGACGGACGTGATCGAGTAGCGGATCGAGCGGGTGATCGAGTAGGGTGATCGAGTGAAACGAAGGAATGCTAAACAACAGTCACTCGACGTGGACACTCGAGTGACACGATCGAGCAAAGCAGAGAAGATGCTCACTCGAGATGCTCACTCGACCAACTTAGTCACAAAAACTTTTAAACCGCTTTTACGTTTTCGTTTTATGTTTTAAGTTTTTCCCAAACATTGTTATAAATAGATCTCATTTGGATTGCCCAGGGGATCGAGTTTTTATTAGGTTTTTGTTGTTAGCCACCAAACAGTCCAGAGAATTGTAATAATGATTTCTTTTGAGTTATTGATATTTTGCAATTAGTTCTTGAATCATTGTTGTTACTCTTCCTGTCATCCTTATTATTATGCATGTTTTGAACGATTCTTGTTTCATGATGTTTAACATGATTTCTGCGTCTGAGTAGTGTTAGGGTTCTTGAGGATGGTATATATTAGGTGGAGGATGTTAGTTTGCTAGAGTGTTTATGTTAGATTCGTTTTCTGCCAAGAGATTGGATTGACTAGTATTAGAAGTTCATTGTCTAGGGATTAGTATGTTTGCAGTTTGATAAACACTCGAAGTAGATTAGCATACTCCACCTACATCAATAACCTCATCCTCAGGATCTTCTATCCATTTGTGCTTTCTGTTTAATTCTCTTGTTATTTACTTGTTCTGCTTTGTTTTCTTGCCAGTATCAATAATCGTTACGTTTTAGCTTATGCATGGTAGTCTATGTTTTACATCCTTACATTTATCGCATGTTTAAGATGTTCACTTAGGATCACTGAAAACCAAAAATCATTTATGCTATGCTTGACTTAATCATTTCTGATATATCTTGATTGCTAGCATCACACCTGATTGGATTGATACCTATTGTACTGCAATGACATGATAGTACTCTAGGGTAATTGATAGAAAAATCCTAGTATCAATTATGATTTAAGATCTTAAAATTAGCATCTTTTTTTGTCTGCAATTTGATTTTATTTCACATGCCCAAATTAGTAATGCTTCTAAAAAGACAAGCACCAACTCGACTCGAACTCTACGTGTCATCAGTTGAAACAACAAAAGGTATATATATACATATATTTACTATATCGTGATATACATTGTATATTTTATTTAATATAAAATTAAAATAGAAATTAAGATGTACTAGTTTGTTACCTAACCATATATCTCATATGTAATTTTTATTGATTATTGGTAATTTCATAATTGTAACAACTAAAAAGATAACATAAACAAATTTCATATAAATTGTTAATAGGTAACATAAATAAATAAATAAAAAAGAACCAAAAGAAACAAAAAGTTTTCTCACTATGGAAAAAAAAAACTTTACTTTTTGTACACTAATTTTTGATTTTTTTTTCTTTCAAAAAGGGCTTATTATTATTATCATTATTATTATTATTATTATTATTATTATTATTATTATTATTATTATTATTATTATTATTATTATTATTATTATTATTATTATTATTATTATTATTATTATTATTATTATTATTATTATTATTATTATTATTATTATTATTATTATTATTATTATTATTATTATTATTATTATTATTATTGACATCAAAAGGATTACTATTTAAAACTCAAAAATAAGAGAAAATACAATATTCAACAAAGACTTTAGTGTTTGGTTGGCATTCAGGCCTAAAATATCTCAGAATTCATTTATTATTTTAAATTATATTTATTCAGAAACATTTCTTATTTAATTTTTATATTGGTTATTTTTGTAGAGGATGTTAGAGAAGATGTTACATTGCTCTCTACAAATTCAAGATCTAAATTCCTAAGTTGGATGGAAAGCAATTCAATAGATGCTGAAGCAAGCAAGTTCAACTATGAAGAATTTGCAAGGGGATTTGTTTGGTGTAGTTAAGAAAATTAACCAATATAAAAATTAAATAAGAAATTTTTCTGAATAACCAATAAAAAAATTAAATAAGAAATTTTTCTGAATAACCAATAAAAAAATTAAATAAGAAAATTTTCTGAATAAATATTATTTAAATTAATAAATGAATTCTGAGATAATATACCTAATTCAAAAGGTAATCTAAGCATAGGGAAAGGTGTAGTATTATTTGATCTTCTTTTCCAAACAACCACTACATGAACAGAAAAACAAAAATTAGAGGATGATGAATAAGAGAAAGAACAAATATCAGTATCAAAACATAGTTCTGCGAACATGATAGAAAACTAAAGATTTTTTTTTAGTTATGGAGAGAGCATAGAAACCTTAGTATTTATAGTAGTAAACGACAATTTTTTCTAGGGTTTCAACATAAGAGGTGTTTTTTTAACGGGCTGTTTGACATAAGCCCATTTCCTCTAAACCCTAATTTGAAACATTATAAGTCATTTTTGGGTTACTATTATAATTTACTATTATAATTGTATAGTAAGTAGTACCTGTTTCTAAAATCTTCAACTTCAGATTTACGGTTCTATAATGCAATTTCAAATCATCGTTCTATAAGTTAATTGAAACATATATAGATTTCAAATATAGAATATCAGTTACTCTTTCTAGATACAGCATGAGTTGCATCTTTCTTTCGCCGGTATGGAAGTTTCGCAGGTCCCATTCTCTGTCTCTAAGCGTAACAATCTGAAAATTAAAAACAAAAACACAATTAATTAACACATCACTACATCAATACATCATATCTATATTAATTTTAACCTAAGCATACATGTTTTCTTACTTTAGGTTTAGCTGAAAGACTTCGTCGATAGCTTTAATAATGTTCAAACCATGTCTTTAATAAAAAACCTAAAGAGATGATTTTAATCTACTAAACAAAGCGAAAGAGATCGAAAAATTATAAAACTTATAAGTTTGTAATTATCACTAAATTGTTCGTGTTAATCTTAACAACTATTTAAATTTTATAAAGTTATTTAGTAACGAATATTGTATATTCTCATTTACTTGATTAAATATTATTTTTAACATTTTCGTCATTCTTTTAATTGGAAAGTTTTCTTATCAATAGCCTTGCGTATATGTTAAAAGTAGTTTTTGTTTTTAATAGTATGATTATATTAAAACGTAGAGGATATAACTTTTGCTATTCTTTGACTATTATTCGCTCATATTCTTATTTAATCATGCCATCTGATGAACCATCGTCGTTGCCTTGGTCGCTTCTTTGAAATTTTGATGGGTCTACTTCGATGGCTTCACGTTTGATCATGCCATTTGATGAACCATCATCATTGCCGTCGCCGCTTCTTTGAGATTTTGATGGGTCTACTTCGATGGCTTCACTTTTGATCATGCCATCTGATGAACCATCATCATTGCCTTGTTCGTTTCTTTGAGATTTTGATGGGTCTACTTCGATGGCTTCACGTTTGATCATGCCATCTGATGTACCATCATCAGCAATTGAATTTTCGGGGTCTAACTCTGTGACTCCTGCATTAGAAACGGCTGCCACCAATACAATGATGGATAATATCAAGAAGAGTATAAATGCTATATAAATGTGAATTTTTTTAAATGTAGGTGAAATATTAGAACTTCTAAGTGTCCGTGGAGCTTCTACAATCTACTTTGATCCGCCATATACTAAAGTTCAAGATTTTAGAAACATGTACAACTTACTGTACAATTATAATAGTAAATTATTAAAAATACAAGTAATCTAATATAACCTATTTCAGGTTGGCGTTCAACAGAGACAGTGATGATGAATTTTAATATTTCCAATAAATCGACAAATAAGAGATACTAGATTCGGACCAGCACATACGTGCGGGATTAATTTCAAAAATTAAGTTTACTATCATGTTTGCAATATATTACGTACATGCAATGTTATGTTTATAAACGTAATTATTAGAAATGTTTTCAAAATTCGTAATCCGAACTTGTACATGTTCAATATTTGTTTGTTTTTAATTTAGTATAGACAAAAACACGATAGGATTTGTTTTTTTATGAGTAAAGATAACTACATTAAAAATAGTAAAATAAAAGTGGTTTGTTTATTTCGGGACATGAACCCCATCTCGTCTTGTCCCTTTCTAGATATCTCATGTTTTTCCATCTCCGAACCATGGTTTAAAACTTTTAATTATAATTTATCCATTTGAGATCGTATATTTTATTCCAACAAATAGGAAATAGGTAAAAAAATCGAGACTTTTTTGAATATATTTTTATTTGGTATGATATTTATAGCATAAACATATATTGGTTTGCTTTGATCAAATTTGTGAATGTTTAAAGTAATTATCGCTTCACAATAAATTTTGGATCAATATTTGATCAAAACGGACCCAGATTGAGTGTGAACCAGTTTAGTAATCAGCTAAATTTCTATTAAACCCATAAACTATCAAACCGGATAAAAACAAAGAAAAAACCTTTAAAACTTCTCGGCCTACCTAGATGGCCAAAATATATTGGTCAGGCGGGTCAAAGTCGTCCACTATGCATGCTTTGCAACAGATAAAATAATTTTAATCCTCAAAAGATCTATTCAACATATTCTACATTAATGGTATGTCCACATATGTCTGCTTGGATTCGTATTACCCTAAATTTTTGTCTCCAATTGTATTAGAAAAAGTTTAGATAATGATTTTTATTTTCCGAATTATTGTTCTCTCCCCGTACCCGTTATTTCTTGTAGTCTATATTAATAAATAGTAGTTCCACATCTACCCTGCTTGAATTCACGTTACACAAAATTCTCATTACTTTGTGTTTTATTAGGAATAGCTTAGATAATGGTTTTAATTTTCTAAATTACTCGTTTCCTTTCCGTACCTGTTATTTCATGTGCCAATATTAGCTATTTAAATTTCAACTTCTTGTATAATACCAGTTATCTAATATTTAAAAATCAAAATTGAACTTAACTATCCAAATATCCACCTTTTTGTTTCCTAAGTTTTAATGTCTCCATCTAGTCTAGTAGTTATAGTATGGACTATGTACTAATTATATGTAATATTGAATTAACCTTTTCCGTTTAGTAGAACAAACAAAAAGAGTAGAACAAAACAAAATAAAGAATCTGAAGTTATCATGTTTTTTTTTCTCAATCACACATTTATTAATATATTATCATGGTTTCTTTATGTGTTTTGTTTTTAATTTTTATTTTTTTGTCTAAAGCTGCTGAAAATCTGGTTTGAATTATTTTCATAATATTAGTCTTGGAAATCATTAGGATTTGAGATTTTGAACTTAATGATTAATACCTATGATATTAAATCGATTTTTTTATATAAACACAAAATAAAGTTACATATTTTAAAGCTTGGTAAATGGTATGAAGTTTGTTTTATTGTTTTGTTATATTAGTTACGGATAATAGTAATTATATGGAGATTTAGATTTTTTTTATGATTTCCTATTTTCACGCTGGGGAATTTTATTAATTATGTGGCTCAATTACAAAAATTAAGCAAATAAAACTTGTAAAAACAAAAATTAAAGCAAATAGATTTTGTTTACGATTTCCTTTACAATTTGTTTTATAATTTAAAAATATTTTTTAAACATTACAAAGTATATTTAGTTTTTTTTATATATTAGTTATGGTTAACACTAATTGTGACTAAATTATATGTCAATTTGAGTTTTAAAAAGAATTAGGGGTTTTGATTTTATAACTAAAAGCAAATATACGATTTTATTAGGGTTTATTTTTGCAAAATATTTTTGGTATAATATGATAAGTCTAAACGGGCTGGCCCATCACATTGTATGAAAATAATGCATGTTAGGACATGCCCAGCTGGAGGTGAGAAATAATGTTGTGTTCAAGCGCGTTTCCTAAGTCCAATGCTAGAGCCAGCTAGCGGGCCTATATTTAAAAATAAAATGAAAAAGTAGTTTTATTTTACAAAAATAAATAATCAATTTTAAAGTTTAAATTAGTTTTTGTAATGAACTTTAAACTTTTGTAGATATACTAATTTCAATCATTAGTTTTCTTTACATTATCACATATCTTATTTTCACATTTTTATATATAATATATTTAATTTTATCAAATTTTTGTAGTCTCTAATATGTTAATGGCGTAATCCAAAGAGCTCACGGTCACTCTAAATTCCGGTTTACCTTTTCACCTTTCTAAAATGTAAAGTATGTTGTCTCGATAGTAACTTTTATGTATATATATATTTGTATATGAATGTCTAACTAAGGTTAATATATATTCTACATAGATATCCATCTAAATATAAAAGAAAATTGTTATATGTTATATTAACAATACTTTTGGTATGTTATATTAACAATCCTTTTGGTAACAAAAATAAAATATTTCAATGTTTGAATAATATTTGTTTTAATATAAGATTTGATCCGCGCATTTTCGACTACTTATCTTATGATCATTTAAACGAATCAATTTTACCGTCGCATGGCTTTAAAACAACATGGTTGAAAATATCATTCTCAAAATTAATTAATAGTTACTACAATTACTCTGAACAAAATAAAAATGTCTTAATTACAAGTCCAAGTAGCAAAGGTCTATTATGGAAGATATGTAAATTATACAATTTTTAAGTATACCCTTAATTAGATAGGTAAAATGAAAATTTACTTATTACCAAAACAGAAAATAAAATAAAAGCAATCTAGAGAATTATAATCTATATTGAATATTCGCAATCTAATCGGTTTAAAAAAAAAATGAAAATTTAATAAATATTAATACTCAAAATCGATTCATCTTCAAAATACAAACTTAAACACCTAATCTAAATATCCATGTAATTGTAAAATTAAAAATTTGGTATTAATACTTAGGATTTATTATTAGTAGTAATGCAAACAGTATTTACGGTTCCGGTGAAGCGTGTTTAATTCTCCTAGTTATTTTTTTAAAAGGAAACTTCGTAATCCACATGCCTTGCCGTCACTCTACCCGTTAATTTTTAGTCAAAATTAATAATATGATAACGATAACTCCAAAAGAATCAACAATATGACACACACACACACTTAGATAGGTACATATACAAAATATATTAGGTAAAAAATCATACCATGGCTTCTGTATACAAATATCACAAAAAGTTTCAAAACTATAGATATAGAACTAAATAACTATATGAAAAAAAAAAGTTAAATAAGTTAAGCTATTAATAAAACAGGAACCCTCAATTATTAGCACCCTTAAATTCTCTCAAACATGCGTCCACGTTCACATAGATTTCAAATACCAATCAAGTTTATAGTAACCCAAACAGTATTTATGGTTTGTGTATAATAATACACATGAAATTAAGGAATTATAAATCGAATTTAAAGAAAATAAAATAAAATAACGAACCCGTTTGAAAAGCAATTGTAACAAAACTTAATAGGACAATTCTTGATGGCCTTGCATGGTGCAACAAATTCCATAGTCTTCTGTCGACACTACAAAACAAAAACACAAAACATTATTATGATTTTACTACAAAACGAGATCAAACTCTTAAAGCACGAAACTAAAGTTTCACCTGGTGGTAGGATTTGCCATTTTTTAAATCATAGATATTACATCCAACGACTCTAACACAAGGATTGCTTTTACGCTTTGTCGCCAGAACAACATTAAACTATAGTGAAAAAATTGAACTTTCGGAAATAATCGAGATTAAAGACTCTCTAATCTACCATAGAGTGTCTAAATAATTAATTAAAAGAAGGAGATCCACGCAGATTAATGTAACTCTTACATTATTTTCTTCAGATTCAGTTCTCCAAATCTTCCTCATACATTTTTAATTAGTTCTTTAGACACTCTCTAAGAGCTTCTCCAACTCATCTCTATATTATCTTTATATTTGTCTCTAAAATAGAGTATAGAGGCAAATATGCTCCAACCTATTCTTACCTCTAAAATAGAGATTGCTATATTTTTCTCTATATATAGAGGAAAAAAATACAGTTTCTCTATATAGAGGAGCTAGTACATTGGAGTAAAACTTACTCTATTATACAGTTCCTCTATTTTAGAGGCAAAAATAGCAAAATACATCGGAGATGGTCTAATAGATTAGAGAGTCTCTAATCTCTATTATTCCCCAAAGTACAATTCTTTCACTATTGTGTAATGTTGTTATGGCGAGAAAGCGTAAAAGCAATCCTGGCGTTAGAGTCGTTGGACGTAGAATCTACTATTCAAAAATGGCAAATCCTGCCACCAGGTGGAACTTTAGTTTCGTGCTTTAAGACTTTGATCTTGTTTTATATTAGAACCATAATAATGTTTTGTAAGCTTACTTGATCAACATGGTTTATGTAGACTGATGCTTTCAATGAAGCTTTCATTATGTCTTCATAAATTACATCATAAATTTATCAAGTATTTATTAATTTATGACGTTAAAAATATTTATAAATTAAAAAATGATCAATGACAATATAATTAATATTTTTAAAAATTAGATTTATCACACATATATATACTTTAAGAAAATAAATCTGATAATAGATCCAAGTCGGATATGTATATCATGTATTGCAAAAATCAAAAGATTTCGATCTAGACCCAGAACTTTCAAATATCATCTTTCTGATTGGATAGTCATAGATCTCGGATAATTTCAACCTCAAAAGATGATATCATTTATCCAGTGATTTTTTATGATGCTTTATAAGAACCTTAGATGATTTTTACCACAAATGAACTCTTTTATCTTTTCACTAAAAACTCATGAGACAAAGTATAAAAATCAAGCAATCAAACAATTAACAAGACCATGAACAAGTATTTAGTAATATAGAAAACCAAAACGTTATGCAAATATTTAAAAAATTCAAATAAAATCAAATGTATGTAAAAGATCTCAAGCTATGTATGTTTTATCAGGACATACCTTTTGCAATAGAATCTAGTCGGGTTCGAAGTTTCTTCACTGATGTGGTCGAGTAATCCCAAATTTTCATGGGGTTGTTTTTGCTATGTTTTGTAGTAAGAAACAATACGGCGGAGATGATGAAGACATTAAAAACTGTGAGTATGATCCTTTTATAGGCCAAGTTAACCTAGGTAACATGCCAAACGACGTCGAATATAATTATTTATACGACGACGTTTGGCCTGATTCAATTTTATGTTGCTAAGGTTAACTTTTAATACTAGAAGATCAATACGACGTCGAACACAAGTTTATCTAATGGTGTACTTTATTTATACGATGTCGTTGGGTATTTTTTCAATTTTTATCTTGTGAAACGTAATATTTTTGTTTCATCAAGAGTAATTCACAATTTTTTTGTATCAATATATCTATAGCCGGTTAGTTTGTCCATAAGCTTTTACATACATTATTGTAGCTTCTCTCTTAAACAAAAATCCTGAATCAAACATAATTAAAAAAGAAAAAAAAATGACATTCAAAACTTGATTTCAAAGTGGGTGGTCATTTAGTGTAAGAAAAAAATAACTAAAATTCTATAATTAAAGTTGCTTTACAAATGTTAATTTTTTCACATGTCCCCGAAGAGCCAATATGCATTTTATAGTTTGGATAGATGGATTTTTTCTTGTTTATAAATGCACTTATCATCTTATTTAATGGCAATTGAGGTTAAGTGGAACTCATATACAAAGAAGCAACAAGGGGTTTATCCTGTAACAACTACACCTACAAGTCTACAATACTAGATTCCAAAAAAAAACAAATCATTCACTTTGAACAATATACTCAGCACTGAGAGATATTATATCAAACCCCATACTGATGTAACACAACAATTTGAAATTGTTCATATGTGGTAAAAATCATCTAGTGTTCATATAAATAGACAAACGAAAACTGTCGTTCATTTTTAACCGAATTTGATTCTCATATTTGTAAAATCAGAAGTATTTCTTTTTCTTTTGGAATTTATACATCCACATATGCATGACCAAAAGGTAACCTTAACCGTATTTCTAACCATAATCGGACCGTTTATAAACCGTTACCAGACCGTAACTGTATAAAACGGTCAAAAATTATAACCGTTAACCGTACAAGTAAATTAATTATGGCTAAAAAAATACTAACTGTAACCGTTAATTAACCGTAACCGTAATAAATTTCTGGTTAACCGCTCGGTTAACCGCACATTTAAATTAATAAAATAAATTTAAATTATAACTATAACTATATACAGTTAAAATACACATTGAATGTTTGGACAAAATTTTCACCTTATTATAAGCAATACAACAAGTTGAACTCATAAATAATCAAAACATTTCATACTAAACTATTTATAATTTTATTATTGTGTGTATTTGATTGAGTTTCTGAGTTTCGTTCCAATACTGAGATTTAACTAATTCACTATAAAGATTTGAATCACGTATATTTTTTACTTGTAAAATAGATATTAATTCATATATTATTTTATTATTATTATCAAATTTTAAAATATAAGATTTTGTGTCTAATACTAATATTATAATAATCATCAAATAACCGTAATCGTATTTAACCATAATCGTAATTAACCGTAACAATATATAACCGTAACCGTCTTAACCGTATATATAATGGTTAAAGAAAATTATAACTGTTAACCGGTGGTTAATTAACTATAACCGCATTAACCGTAACCGTGGTCATGCCTACTTCCACATGACATCTACTCAGCTTTCTATTAACTTAACAATAAAGTCATTAAAAAATTTGTGAGTTTAGACAAGATTTCTTTTTTATTCGAGTAGGAAATTCAAATTTTTAATAAGTTTATATAGTGATAGCATAACAAAGTTCTATGTATTAAATATTAATACGATAGGAAAAAAAAAACTTATGTTTGTGGAGGAATTGGATGTCTTCCTCTAAATTTTAACACATGCAAAAATAGGTAAACATATAAATATATATATATATATATATATATTTCCAGAAGTCATAACCACCACAGCCACCACCACCACCACCATCATCATCATCATCATCATCATCATCATCATCATCATCATCATCATCATCATCATCATCATCATCATCATCATCATCATCAGCATCCTCATCTTCTAGATCGTTCCATTATCAGCATCCTCATCCCCGAAGAGACATCATCCTCTTCTTCTACAAAAACAAAGCAGCTATTAGTTTAAATTGGACATTACAAAAATCCAAATATCATCCATAGCCTCTTAATGAGTATAACTTACCTCTTGTTCTTGTACGAGAGACATTTCTCTATCTCTAGTGTCTGTTCAGGCTTAAAAGCTAACCATCTTTCAATTCGCCACAAATTATCATATGCTCCTAGATCTGCCATATATATATATATATATATATATATATATATATGGTGATATTAAATCACTAAACACTTTTGCCTAAGAAATACACACAAACAAATAGCGTAAGTAAATTACAAACCTTGAAGCAAAAACTTTGATTCTTCTTCTTCATAACACTTCAGTTTCCAAAGAACAAGACCATTATCATCATCCTTCATGATTGGTTCAGTTCTACGTGCATGACATATACGTATAGCTGCAAAGGGAGAAAATATTAAATATAATACAACAACATTTGTTAGACAATTAACATATATAAGGAGTCTTAAGGGTGTCAGTATGTCATGCCTTTTGCTTCCATCATCTCCTTGTGAGCTTCATTAGCTTCAGCTCTTATTTGAGATATAATTAAGTTATGTTCCTCAATGGAAAATGGAGCTCCATTTTTTTCCATAATGGCTTTGGCAACATCACCTTGCATCTTCTGTTTAAGTTGCTTCTCCTATATAAAAGACAAAACTAGCTTTTAGCACAAGGTAGAGATTGATATATAAATTTAGAAATTACCTTTTTCTTGGCGGTTGCAGCCTTTTCTTTAGCTTCTTTATTATGTTGTTCACACTCTTTTGTTTGGCTTTTAATGTACTCCCTTATTGGCCTGAGAAATTTTCACATATAAGTTTATCTCAAAACCAAGCATAAACTAATATTGCCATAGAAAGATTCACATACGTACTGTGTGCTAAGTAATTCATCACATAGAAAAATTAGAAGCTTGAGCTTTCTTGATGCATCCATCTTCTCGTACTCAGCAACACCAGCTTCAAAAGTTTCAGGTGGGAACTCATCATCTCTCAAAACTTGTGACTCCAATACTATCTCTCCAATAGCAGTGAACCAACTGCTGTCAGATGCACTTAGAGTCCAAGACCTGTAATAAAATTAAATCACATCAGAAACATGAGCAAACAAAAACAAGGTATACATTTTAGGACATGAATATAAAAAACAACTAATACATCTCTCTATCTTGTGATATTAAGTCCAACAACTGAATCATCATCTCGATAATAGAGCAGCATTGGTTACTCCTTGTGTTCCGCCCACATACAAACAGCTCACTGACAACAGTTTCAGCTTGTCCTTCTTTTAAACCAAGAACCTATCCAAAATGTTTTAAAGAAATGTATCAGATTACAGACCATGTGTTAGTTTCCAAGCTAATTAAAGGGAGAATATTATAACACCTTTCCAAAGGCAGAGCAAAACTCGAAAAGCTGGCATATATTTGCAGCTTCTATAGTGGGTATATCAATGCCTAATACACAAGTCAAGCGTGTAGCCTGAGGAAGCTGAGCCTTCAACTGACTATCCTGTCTCATTATGCTCCTCCTGCAGAATACTTTCTTCCTCTCCTTGGCAACATCTGTTTTAGAAACCACTTCTGTCACTGGAACAGATTCACTAGTGCTACTACTACTAGCTTCATTGAAAGCATCACTCTACATAAACCATGTTGATCAAGTAAGCTTACAAAACATTATTATGGCTTTAATATAAAACAAGATCAAAGTCTTAAAGCACGAAACTAAAGTTTCACCTGGTGGCAGGATTTGCCATCTTTTGAATCGTAGATTCTACGTCCAACGACTCTAACGCCAGGACTGCTTTTACGCTTTCTCGCCATAACAACGGTAAACTGTAGTGAAAGAATCGAAATTTGGAGAACTGAATTTGAAGAAAATAATGTAAAAGTTGAAGTGTGTGGAATATGAGAGGTCGTTCCCTCTTCTTTTATAATAGATTGACAATTCAAGAAAATAAAATAAAAAAAGTAATGTCTTCAAAGGTGTGTTTTTTTTTCTTTATTAATTGGTCTTTTTGGATATTTATCCTTTTATAGGACTGTATTCTATTCTAATATAAGGCTCTCATTGGTCTTAAATTTGAGATTATAGAAACAAATTATTTATTTCTTCTTTTGTAAATAAATTGGCATAATGTTTTTTTAAAAAAACTTTTGACTTTGACTAGAAATTTATATAATAAAAATAATAAACTGAAGAAAAAGGTAAAAAATAGAAAATTTAAAGCAGGAAATTATTTTTATTTGACTTGTATAATAGGATGGTAGAATAAGAAATTAAGAAAGAATTTTTAGATTATGAAAAATAAACGGGCATTAATGTAATTGTTTCTACAAATCCCAAATTCTTGACTAATGAAAGCCTTATCATTAGATAGATTACAGTCAAATAAAAAGATAATACTCTGCGAACACATACTCTAATGACAACCACACTTTTAAATACATATTTTATTTTCCATTTATAAAAATTCATATCTATTATATAAGAAGAGGGAACAATCTCACAGTCTCACTTCAAATTTTGCATTATGTATTTCCAAATTCAATCCTCAAATTCTTATTAGTGAATTAAGTCATAAATTTATTAAATATTTATTAATTTATTACGTTAAAAATATTTATAAATTAAAAAAATGATCAATGACAGAATAATTAATATTTTCAAAAATTTGATTTATCAGACATATATATACTTTAAGAAAAATAAATTTGATTATAGATCCAAGTCAGATCTGAATATCATGTATTGCAAAAATCAAAATATTTTGATCTAGACCCAGAACTTTCATATATCATCTTTATGGTTGGATTTTCATAGATCTCAGATCATTTTCAACCTCAAAAGATGATATCATTTATCCAGTGATTTTTATGATGCTTTATATGAACCTTAGATGATTTTTACCAGATATGAACTCTTTTATCTTTTCACTAAAAACTCGTGAAATAAAGTATAAACATCAAGCAATCAAACAATTAACAAGATCATGAACAAGTATTTAGTAATATAGAAAACCAAAAAGTTATGCAAACATTTAAAAAACTCAAATAAAATCAAATGAATGTAAAACATCTCAAGCTATCTATGTTTTATCAGGACATACCTTTTGCAATAGAATTTAGTCGGGTTCGAAGTTTCTTCATTGATGTGGTCGAGTAATCCCAAATTTTCATGGAGTTGTTTTTGCTGTGTTTTGTAGTAAGAAACAATACGGCAGAGATGATGAAGACATTAAAAACTATGAGTATGATCCTTTTATAGAGCCAAGTTAACCTAGGTAACATGCCAAACGACGTCGAATATAATTATTTATACGACGACGTTTGGCCTGATTCAGTTTTGTGTTACTAAGGTTAACTTTTAATACTAAAAAATCAATACGACGTCGAACACAAGTTTATCTAACGGTGTATTTTATATATATGATGTCGTTTTGGAGCTTTCATTTTTTATCTTGTCAAACGTAATTTTCTGGTTTCACTAAGAGTAGTTCACAGTTTTTTGTATCAATAAATATATAGCCGGTTAATTTGTCCATAAGCTTTTACAAACATTATTGTAGCTTCTCTCGTAAACAAAAATCCTAATACAAACATAATTAAAGAAGAAAACAAGAATGACATTCAAAAATTGTGGGTGGTCTTTTAGTGTAATTCTTATACCTTATAACTTCGACTAGGCATAAGATTTGAAGAAAAACTAACTAAAATTTTATAATTAAATTTGCTTTACAAATGTTAAATTTTTTTCACATGTCCCCAAAGAGCCAATATGCATTGTATAGTTTGGATATATGGATTTTTGTTGTTTATAAATGCATTTATCATCTTATTTAATGGCAATTGATGTTAAGTGGAACTCATATACAAAGAAGCAACAAGGGGTTTATCCTGTAAAACAACTACACTAGAAGTATACAGTACTAGATTCCAAAAGAAAAATCATTCACTTTGAACAATATACTCAGCACTGAGAGATATTATATCAAACCCCAAACTGATGTAACACAACAAGGCCTCCCTTCTTGTCTCCCTCATAAGCCATTGTCGTGCATTTGTTGCCTCTCTTCTCCTTCCTCCAGTCTCCTCTCACTCCAGTTGCTTGAGAAAGTCAATGTTGTCCACAAACACCTGCAAAGCAGAAAGTCGCAAACTCAAAACGCGATATTCAGAGCTCTTTCCATTAATATGAATCTATATCAACACATAAATATCTTACCGATTTCCAGCCATCCGGATCCAGACACGCGGTGATCTTTGTGCTTATACCTTGTAAGACCATCTCCAATGGTTTTTGCTATTTTTGCCTCTATAATAGAGGAACTCTATAATAGAGATGACTTTTGCTCCAATGGTTTCCTCTATCTTCTCCTCTATAATAGAATATTCCAAATAGATTCGTTTAAAATTTTAATATTAACACCATCTATTTATAAAAGTTGCAAATTAACCCATTTACTTTAACTTTTATAAAATTTTAATAAAATAGTTACTTTTATTTAAATTAAACATTTATTATAAAAACATCATATTATATATTTTATTATTTAAATGTACATCGCATTAAATAAAAAACAATAAGATACTAGATTCTATTCTATTATTATATATAATAAGGTAAAATAAAATCTCTTTTTTCCTTCAATAAAAATAAAATCTATTATTATATATATTTATAAGATTTTATATAATTTACTTTTGCAAATGGTAGTCTCAAATTTTAGAATATATATTTATATTAAAACCTCTAAAATATTTATATTATTAGTTATTAAATATATTTATTTTATTTATTTTGTTCATAAATAAAAGAAATTTGAGTTTAAAGGACTATTTTGCAATAAAATAGCTCACCTCTATTTATAGAGGAAAAAATAGAAGTCCTCTATATATAAAGATAAAAATAGCAATATCTATAATAGAGGTGAATATAGAGGTGAGTTGGAGCAAAAATTGTTATAAAATAGAGTTTAGAGGCAAAAATAGAGGTGGGTTGGAGATGCTCTAAGGGACCAGGTTCCCTCGTGATTTTTCCACTAAAGACTTTTATAGCTTCTGCTGTTTTGTACACATCATCTATCCCTATTGCAATTTAACAGTAATCAAATACAAGCAAACAAGTTAAAACTACGGCTACCCTCCAGTTGAAAAGGAATATAGACAAACGGAATGTTAAATTTCTCTTACCTGAGCATAAGCATTTCCTTTATCATCATATTCAGTGACACCATAGTTATATGTCAGCTCTAGGACAGGAAACTTATCTTCTGGGCCATATCCCATCATGGCTATTGTGTACTGCAAATAACCACTTACGGTAAGTGAATTTATACAAAAACTAAATCAAACCGATCGAACAAACACTAGTAGCAGGTTTTGCATGTAAAAATAGTAAAAAGTTTTGCATGTAAAATTATCTAGACAAAGGAAGTTTACGGCCGCATGGTACTAAGAATTAGATCATGAGGCATTGCAAGTTAGAATATATGATTAAAGAATTAGAACGCATTCTGATATAAGAAATAGAATATATCAGATTCAATATTTGTGCTGTTCAGGCTATAAACTGTCACATCTCAACAAAAATTCATAGGATTCACCTTCTCATAGAACTTTATGGCTCTATCGAGATCACCATCACGGAGCATAACTTATCAAAGAGGTTCAGGTGTAGGGACCTCTTTCCAAGAGTTCAAATTTGTAACCATCAGGATCTTCGATGAATGCGATTACAAATTTTACAGCTCCCGGGATACTTTGCCCCCTTTGGCTACCCTCCCAAAAGATTTATGATGCAACTATGAGATTTATGATGCATCTTCAATTTTTTTGGAAAAAATAATGTTTGGTTATTTTTATGAGTTTTTTACATTAATAATTTAATAAAAGTTTAATAAAATTTACTTATTGAGAACATTAGCAAATCGAATTCTAATTTCGCTAGAACAAGTTGTGTCGAGTAGACCCTAAATTTATCTATTTCATATTGTTAAATTATTAAATTAAATAAAACCTATACTTTACTTAATCAGAAAACTACAATATTATGAGCGTCCAAAATTTCATATATAAAATATTTAGTGATTTTATTTTCTTTTAGTATATATTACATATTCTGGGTATACCAAAAATGTTTTGCTTAATACCTAGAAAATATTTTAAAAATAAAATAAAATTGACAACTATATTGATGGGAATAAGAAGGTTTCATTTACTATAGATGATACGGATAGAGATAAATATATAATAGTTATTTTCCTAACGTTATTATATTATATTTGGAAAATATGTTAATATGTAAAAAATATAATAATTTAATACGAGAAAAAAAATAAATCGATAAGACTATCGAGATTTAGTTGCGTATTTAACCAAACTAAATTATCATAATAAAAATAAAAATAAATTAATATAGTTATATAAAAAAATTGTAAAAATCCAAAATAGTTAATATATAAAAAAGATCTCTGCGATATATATCATAAATTTATATTTAAATATATGTATAACAATTTTGAAACGATAATCATGCTAAAAATTAGTGGTGCAATATAGGAAATTTTACAATATTACATATAGGATATATTTACTTATTCACTATTTGATATTTACTGAATCGTTTTAAAAAGATTTAATTTAAGATATATATATATATATATATATATATATACAAATTTAAGGTGATAAATATAGGAAAGATATATGTTTAAAATAATGAATTAAGATAAAGTAAAGATAAATGTCCATATTAGTATAACGAATTATTAATAACAAAAATATCTTTTAAATTTATCTAAATTACGTGTATATGTGTACATATATGTTTAACCATGCATTGTCCAATCTTTCATACTTCAATCGATCTTCAAAGGTTGGAAATTACTTTACTGTCGATTTAATTAAAATTTTAGTTCATGTTCATAGTTTTAAAACTTAAATTAAATTGTCTTTATTATTATTCATTATGATGAAGATTTTTCCTCTGGATCATTATTGTGAATTTGGATCAAGGTTGGAGATGGTGTTAACTAATATTCAGGTTTGTTAGTTTTTCCTATTTCAGTCGAATTTTTTTATATAGATTATAGTAATATATTCAAGATCATTAGGTTTCTAAATTATCATATTGCTTAACCAATATATTGACTTCTATAGGGTGAAAAATACAGTGTTCCTTTCCTGGTATTCTTTATGATCGATTTATTTCCAAGTTTGATGTTGGTGATTGGCTTGAAACCAAAAATTTCAAAGTCATGGATCAATATGGGTCGTGCAAAGCTACTAATCATAGATATAGAGTTATTATTCTGTCTCAAACAAAGATTAAGAAGGCTAAGAATGTTGGAGGTGGAGAGTATTTTGAGTTCATGGATTTTAAACGTATATTGGATGGTTCTCACTGTGATGATTACTTGGTCGGTGAGTTGGTTCAAACTTATGCTTATATGATTTAGAAAAAAAATAGTTTATATGTTGTTGATTATTATTATGAATTGTATTCATACGGTTAACGTTTTAAATTTTAGATGTCATTGAAGAGGTTATCCACGTTGGAAAATATGATACTTGGGACCATGTAGACAATGAAGCTGAACCAAAGAATCGCGTTATGGATGTTTCTAAATACTGAATCATCTAATAGGATGCGAGCGAGCAAGAAGATCTTGCTTACGATGATTCCAAGGAAGAAACCGATGACGATGAGGATTCTAATGATGACGACGTCGAAGAAGAAGTCGAGAATGATGATCAAAATTGAAAGGAAGAGGCCAATGAAGAAAAAGAATATTTCATACACCATAAAATTTCTTTTGAAGTTCGGGACAATAGATATTGGTTTCTAAATAGGAAAGTTTTCATTCTAATTTTATTTTATTTTAAAATAGATGATAGGTATATAAAGTAATGTTTCTCTTTGATTTGGAAAATTAGTAGTGTCATTTTACAATGTGAATTGACTGGATCATAGGCCGTGAACTTTTACATGATTTACAGAACTTTGCAAGGCTGTATTGTAATATGTCTTATTCAATGGGGAGGTGTGGATGTTTTCCAAGGTACACACTCATCAATTTATTAATTTGGTTACATGTTTAATGCCTAATGACTTAGTTCATTTGTTATTTAATATAATTAGAGATTGCTATTCTTATGATAGGCAAAAGAATTGTGTCTAACACCATTTGTACGTAAGATCGACTCAATCCGAAGATTCCAGAGATTGATAAATTTATCGAATCGTACGTTTTTAATAAATCTTTGCATAGAATTATTAAATTTTGTTATATGAATGATATAGCTTAATTTTCCTATTTTCTATTTTTAGGAATCCACGGAAGAGTATTCGCATAAGTAGACAACGTCGATGATCAGAAGAATGGCGATATTAATTTTTTTTTTTTTTTCCTTTTATTTTGTTTTTACTACTTTAGACTTCATGTTTTCACCTTTTTTAGGGTCGTTCATTAGGATTCCTTTACTACATTGGCACTTACTCTATATTACAATTAATAATTATTTTTCAATATAAAATTTTATTATAAGTATGTTTTGATTCAAATTTTTTTCATTTGAGTGTCCATTTAATTGCATTGCATACTGTAAAACAAATAATAAAAAGATGCAATGGTGATAATTATTTTTCCATTTGATCATACACAGTGGTGAACTTCCAGAATGGAATTCTGAAGATGAAAGCTCAGATGAGGATTAATAATCTATTTTTTATAATTTAATTTTATTCAGTTTTTTTTTGTTTCATCATCATGTAAGGTATGCGTTATTTTCTCATGCAACAAATAAGAACGATTTAAAAAACTAATTGTTTTGTATATATTTGGTTTGCATTTCCCAGTTTACTGTTTATTTGTAGATAAATATTAATACTCAATATGTAATAAATATTAATACTCAAAATTGATTCATCTTTAAAATACAAACTTAAACACCTAACCTAAAATAGCCATGTAATAGTAAGATTAAAATTTTGGTATTATACTTAGGATTTAATATTAGTAGTAACCCAAACAGTTCCGGTGTTCATAACCCTGAAGCTAGAAAGTTTACCTATGCTGAATTTCCGACCACATATGCTTGGTATAAAAAAGTAAAAGTTTGGAAGCTAAGATCGAGGAAGAGAAAAAGTTTTGCAATAGCAAGGATAACATACGTTCCACCTTCTATACGGGATGCTTATTACTTAAGAGTTTTGCTTGATAAAATTCCAGGCGCAACCAGTTTTGAGTACTTGAAAACAGTAAATGGAGTTCTTTATAAAGAAATTAAAGATGCTTGCTATGCATTAGGATTATTGGACGATGACAAGGAATATATATCAGCCATAATGGAGGCAAGTATGTGGTGTTTTGGGGTTTATTTACGGAAGCGGTTTGTCATACTATTAATTTCAAAGAGTGTATATGTTCCGCTAAATCTTTGGGTAGCCACAAGAGATATATTATGGGAAGATATTTTGTTTCTCCAAAGGAACCGCATGAACGATTAAGTTACATAAAATTTCTCTATAATTGTTCATCTAATTTTATAAACCATTTAAAAAAATATATTTAAATAATATAATAACTAGATAAATTATACAAATTGTGATGCAGGTCTTCTGTTAACACAAGCTCAGATACGAAACATATGTTTGTCCTAGATCGAAATGCTTATGCGGTCAAATGGGAGTTCTCTTTCAGTTTTCACGAATATGCCAACACTAGATGATACTGTGATGGATCCTAATGTAAATAGGCTTATTATGGATGAGAGAGTCTATAAGCCTCATGAACAAAAGAAGGCATACGACAGGTTGTTTGTTATGTTAACTGAAGAGCAAAAATGTTTGTATCAAGAGATCATTGATTCAGTAAATCGGAACAAGGGTGATATGTTTTTTGTACATGGATTTGGTGGTACTGGAAAAACATTCTTGTGGAGTATTCTTGGAGCTGATATTCGATCTAAAGGTAATATTTTTCTAAACGTTGCATCAAGTGGAATAGCTGCTTTGCGATTGGAAGGTGGTAGGACTGCTCATTCTAGGTTTGTATACCTATCAATGTAAACGAATTTACAATTTGTTCGATCGATGCAGAAACTGATCTTGCATATTTGATAAGAGAAGCAAAGCTCATTATATGGGATGAGGCTTCGATGATGAACAAACATTGTTTTGAAACATTGGATAGGACTTTGAAAGATATAATGAAGTGCGATCGAATTTTTGGAGGTAAAGTGGTTATTTTAGGAGGTGATTTTAGGTAGATACTCCCTGTTATAACTGAAGGTGGACGAGTAGCAATAGATTTAGCCTCGGTGAACTCATCATTGCTTTGGCAAAGTTGTAAGGTTTTAAAACTTACAGAAAATATGCGATTACGAAAAGCTGTTAATGATGAAAACTTGCTTGCTCTCGCTGAGTTCTCTAAGTGGCTACTCGATATTGGTGATGGGAAAATCAACGGGCCTAATGATGGTGATGTCGAAATAGAAATACCAGAAGATTTATTGATAACGGTGTCTGAGGATCCTATTCAAGCAATTGTACGTGAAATTTATGGTAGTTCTTATGCAAAAAAGAAGGACCCAAAATTCTTAAGCAAAGGGCAATTCTTAGTCTAAGGAACGATGACGTTTATAAAATAAATCAATTTATGCTTTCTCAGTTACCAGGTATTTAATCGTAGACATAGAGATTTCATTTTATACTTTTGAGGATATGATAGACTCTCAAGAGTTCTTAAACAGTATCAATGTTTCCGGATTACCTAAGCATGAATTAACATTGAAGAAGGGAGCCCCTATCATGTTGCTAAGGAATATAGATCCTAAAGGTGGATTGTGCAATAATACTGTAACGCCCGTGTCTGGAAAACCGAGTGGTGTCGCTCGACGCCAAAGAAGGGTGTCGATCGACACTAGCAATTTTTGGTTCGACGCTTTAATTTTTAAATCGTGGGTTCAATTGGGATTGGTTTGGGGAAAACCTAGGGTGACGTAAAGGTTAAAAGGTGCGCCGTTTTCCTCATTCTAGAGTCTTTTTGTCGCTTTGTGAGTTTGAGAGAAAGCAGAGAGTGATTTTGATCTTTTTGGTTCCTTTGAGTGAGTTTTTGGAGAGATCAAAGCTTGTTCTTGGTGGTTCAAGGTTAGTAGAGGCTAGATCCGTGCTGTACAACAAAAATGAAGAAGAATGAGGAACCAAGTGAAGAACCCAGATGAAGAACAACATAATGTAAGAAAAAAATCCCATGTTGAAGAGGGAGACCTTTCGTATTTCCCTCGTTTATGATGACATGGAATGATGACATAGAATTATGCATTTGACGTCGCAAGTCAGCCACTAAACAAATATGTAACTCAGCCTGAATAAATCAGCCATCAAACACAACTTAAATCAGCCACAACATGAAAAATATCTAAGTAATTTTAAAAACATTTGTTCGGCTGCCAAATTCAGCCGTAACGTCAATAAGTCAGCCAATTACGACTGAGTTATGTCTCTGAAACATAAGTCAGCCATAACGACATTGGATAACTCAGCCGTTGTCGATAACTCATGCAACCGGAGAAAGTTAAGTCAGCCGTGTCGAAGACATAACTCAGCCAAATTTCTGATAACTCAACCATCGGAATATAACTCAGCCGTAACTGCGGCTGAATTATGCGCGTAAGTCAGCCGTTTGCTCATAACTCAACCAGATTTATATAAGTCAGTCGTAATTGTTGGCTGAGTTATGTCCGTAAGTCAGCCGTTAGCCCGAAACTCAGCTGTTTTCCATAACTCAGCCGTAACGTAACATAAGTCAGCCGTAACATAAGTTATGGCTGGGTTATTTAAGAGACGCGCTAGAATTCTGATGGGGCATCTGACGTGGCGATGTCATTCTTCGTAATGATTTTTTTTCCTATAACGTATAAAAAGGGCACGCTAAGAATTAAAAAAACCCGAAATATCTAAGTTATAAAAAAAGATTTAGCAGGTTTTGGTCATTTAGCCTAAAATGTGCTATATCTTAGATAATATGACATAGAAGAGTTCCGAGGAAGAAGAAGGATATGGAAAGTGGTAGGAGAGCGGGTATTTGTTTTAGTTACAATGACAAATTATATATTATGGAAAAAATGATGGCCAATTAAGAATTATATTTTCTCCATTTCATTGCCAAAGGAGAAAGATACTTTTCTTGCTATTACTTTCAAATAAGTGACCAAACGTGCTATTTTCTTGCTAGGGAAGTTACCCGCACTGATGCACGGTAAGGTGTTATAGAAAATACCCTACGTTATGTACTATCTTTCTACTTATTTTGTAATAAAGTTTTGAGTACATCTACGTAGACGATAAGATGTATGCAGACAAACTAACACATACGATAAGTTTCATTATTGAAAATGTATATTTTACTATGTATTAGATTTTTTTACGTACTCAAGCAAAACACATAATAGTTCATACTGAATAAAAATGAACTTTAGTCTATTAAACAATGATGGAAAAGAGACTAAGAAGTTTTGGAAAATATGCATAGGGCAATCCTTTTCTAAATAAACTAGGTTCGGACCCGCGCTACAGCGCGGGGGAAATAATTACATATATATAACTTTTAACGGATTAGAATATGTTATATTTTAATTTTGTTAGAATGCAGTCGATTACGGTAAATCATATATTTTTATAATATGTTTAAATCAAATAATAAAAGAAAAAGCGAGTAAATAATCATATACTGAGTTTTGATACAATTAAAAAATTTAACA